TGTTGGGATTGTCACCTGTGGACATTTTAAACTGTTTTACATATTCGTGCAGAGGCATAGCCTCTAAAGAAAGGTTGTCTCTGCAATGGAAATAGTTGTTCCTGGTGATTAGACATGGCAAGTAAACTTGGACTCGTATCCAGATGAATTTTATGTTTTATTAAAATGTAATTCTGCCAGCCCATTTCTACAAACAAATAGAATATTAATATTTTACTGTATTTAGAAACTCTCCATATTTTTATATATAATTAATTAAGATGATCATTACTTATATGAATTTATAATAATAATAATAATAAAGTAGTCAAAATAGAACATTTAAAATAAAAGTGATTATTTATTAACTACAAATAAATCTTCAATATACATGTAGTAATTTGTATGTTGTAGACTTAAAAATTTGCAGTAGAGAAATGCAAGGCACCAATGTGTATTCTCGAAAAACACCTACACAGATACATTTCTGACCAACTAGAGAACAGTATTTATTTGGCACAATATCCAAGCAAGGTTGTAAGAGAATTAGAAGGCTTGAATTTAATGAACGATGAAATAAAAACAGTAATGGACTTTGAAAGTTTGTATCCTTCTGTTAAATTGGAATCTTGCTTCGACGCAGTTATTAAGTTCATGATTCAACATAAACCAGAGTTATCTGTTTAAAAATTTGTGAAATAATCATCAATTATAAAACTTATGTAGAAAATCAAAATGCTTTCCTGTTTGAAGTATATTTAAACAACTACTTAATAATAATAAATTTAAATATTTATAATAGTAAAAGTATCACAATTTCGCTACGAATCGAAAATATTTCATAAATACTATGGCAGATCATTCTAAAAACTTCCAATCCGATAAACTAATATTGCCAAATGTCCATTGAAGTACTGCATATTGTCCTCCCGTCTTTCTTCTGTCAATAATGTTCTTTTGAGTGCAATTCTAATTGTTTGTTTTTGTTCAGATTTACTTTATTATCTCTGAAATATTTTATACAGACGAATTTCTAACATTTTATTTTCTTATTCTAAGTTTTGTCTTTATCAATCACTAGAGTAACAGAAAGAGAAAAACATTATTATTAATCAGAGTCAGACAAGTAAATATAAATTAGGGAGTTAATTAGATGGTTCTTAGGGTGACAACAGTTAGTAATAAGTCTAAAATTAAGTTTAAAACTGTATTTATTGATTATTTAATGTTTTATAATTTACAGTTAGTCAATATATATTAATTTATAACAAACTACTTTGTTATAAATGTCTCCCTTTGTGCAATGTCCTTCTTTTGTGTACAAAAAATTCTCAATTTTACGATAAATACATATATTCAACAACTAACATAAAACAGACTCCTTATACATGCCTTATTTTTGGTAATTCATAGATATTAATAAGAAATAATTAAAATTATTATAGTATTTCAGAAATAAAATAACAATTTTAGAATTTAAACTGCTAAATTATTTTAAAAACAAAGAAATTTTAGAAAAACAGAAGAAATGGGAATGTAAAAATAATTTTCGATGTAAATTTATAAATATGTAGCGGTACTTTTTTAGCATGTTATTATTGTAAATGTATAATAATATGAGAATTACAGAATTATGAGTTCTTTTTTTGTAATTTATTACACGAGTAATTACAGATAATTTAAAACTATATTTAGATTTTTTGAACGAGTGAAATTTTCATTATGTCTGACCTCACTCGAGTTATGACACACGACCCCTCTTATCTCACCCAATCCGCTCGACCTTTATACCAAAAATTTAATAGCATCAATGTTCCTTATACCATGTCAAACCTTGTTTATGTTTCATTTTTCAAATTTAAAATAAATCGAATTAAACTTTTTCTTTTTATCGTAATTTCGAAGAGCGTATCTGTTATGCTAAGGAGATTTTTATTAACTGAACTCCCTCCTAGATTTCTCAGTGGATTTGAACGAATTAGATGTAGATAAATAGGACTGGTTCTTCAGATGTACAATAATCTTTTTATTTTCTGATCTGATGATTTATTCCGGATACCGGTTTTCAAATTTCTGGAATTTTCCTATGATTCTGTATAGATGTAGAGAATGGATAAGAAACTTTTTGCCACATTGAAATTTTGCACAATTCAGTTTCAGATTTACCGACGAATCATCTGTGTCTGTAGTTTATGGAAGAATGTATGAATGACCCTTACATTAAGCCCTTGCTTTATCCTTCAGGTACTGTGAGTTATCTGCTAGTTATATTTGCAGCACTATTTAAAATTTTAACTTTCAAATTAATTTGCAGAAAAATTTTATTGTTATATTTTTACATTTATTTTACATATTTTATTCATATTAATTCTATATTATGTCTAAGCCTATATTAGATAAAATAATAATTTTAAAATATTCTAGGGAAATTAAATAAATTAATATAGAAAAAAAAAGTTTACAAACTTACATTATGTTTTAATGAATTATCTAGCTACAAAATAAAAATTAAAAACTTTACTCGTTGTTTTTAATATAACTTTCATTTATTATTACGGAAAACATTTATTAAATTATAATTTATATATTAGGGACGTGATTTTATTAACGTAAATTACATTATAAGTTTAGAGGACGAATCTATTAATTTCTTCTTCCTATTTTAATTGTGAAATCATATCGTAACTGTTTCTAGAAAATAATAAGGATGCGATTTGCTTAATGATGTTTAAATCAGTACCATTACTTTCATGCGCAAATTCTCGACTTCGACATGAATGCATTTTGGCTCTCTCTAGGAATTGTTTTCTTCTGTGCAAGAATCTCACATCAAGGTATAAATATTTAATTTTAATAATTTATTGTTAAATATCTATAATTTATGCAAGAATTATCTATAATTATGAATATACCTTTTGTATTTTTTACAATATTGTTATTTATTTTGCAGAGATATGCACCGAACCGAATACCAAATTCTATCCGCTGTTGGGTGTTATAGAATTTTGCAAACCTAATGGCGAAATTGGGGGAATTATTCTTTTTAGAGCTGCACCTCGTTGCGAATGCAAAGAAGGATTCGTTCGTTCTTCTGCAAATGGTGGTAGATGTATTCGTAGAAAAGCCTGTAGGGTATGTATATAATTTAATGTAAAATCAATAAAAATTTAATATATAATAATTTAGATAACAAAACATTATTAACGAGGTTTTATTTTATAAAAAAAATAAGGTCTAAACATCGTAACAATTTCTTCTTTAATAGAATAATATAACTTTTAATACCATTCCGATTTAGTAGAACTAAGCTAAAGTTAGTATTTTTCTGTTTGATTTGGTTAAGTAAAAGTAACTTAATTTATGACAAATTTAAAGCATTAATCAATATTAATAATATATAATATAATTAATGATTTCTTTCAACATAAAGGAAAACATTTACTGTGAATAATATTTATAAAATTTAAATAATAATTAAAAAATTCATATAACAGCTAGTCATAAAAGTCGCTTTTACCTTAAAGCTAGTTCTGCTTGTAAACTTCGCAAACAAACTGTTCGTAACAGCGTGAAATTAAACCTAAATAGTAAGTAACATAAACATGTACAATAACAGCAACATACATTCAGATGTTCAAGCCAAAATCACATTAGAAATACAACTATTTTTAGAACGTAAAATGACAAGAACCTCACAGCAGCGCCCACTCAAGCATTTATGTAGTCCCGGACAAAAAGATCAATTGCCGCCCCTTAAATTTATTTAGTGAGAAACATGTAATATAAAATTACAATTAAGTAGTACAAAACAGTAAAAATTAAAATACACCTGTACCTAGTTACAAATTGTTAACTAGATGCATTTNCAGATGGGGCGATATTGTAATAAGATAAAACAGTATATAGAAGTTATATTGCTTTAATTTTTACTTAAAATAAACTAAATGAAAAAGCAAAACTGAAAAGTAACGATTAAAATATTAAAATGTGAAATATTAGTTTTTAAAATAATAAGGAAGCTCCTGTCAGCAATTAAAATCTTAAAATCTTCTAGATCCTTGTCTGCTTATGAACATATTTCATGAGATTTTCTAAATTCAATTCAAAGTAATTCATTAAATAATTTATTCTTAACTTAACTTAACATGAAAATGTGATATTAAAAGTATGGAATAAAAATTTATAAACCATTAGTGGATAACAAATGTAAAAATTTTGTAATGGAGTTTAACTTTCTTGAGATGAACATTAAAATTTATATTTTAAAGACACATGTTTATGTGTCTTTACACTCTTTATGACTATTGAAATCTCTATTTTAAAATTCTTATTATATTGTTATTATGTCAGTAACTATAGCAATTCCAACAATTCTTTTATTAAATTATCCTTCGACCTATCAATTATTATAAAAGTAATGTTTCTCATTCTTTTCATCAAATTCAATTAAATATGATGTCTTTACATTATTTTTTTTTGAGTAGGTTTACTAAATTAAAATTAACTTGAAGTACTTTTTAAGCACTGCACAAAAATGATTTATGGCCTTTGTTTAATAAACGTGTAACTTTTAAATATTAAAACAATTTATTTCAATTTAAATCTAGTATTTTTGTATAAAAATCGTAAATTAAATATTATTTTAAAAAATTATTTTTCTGAATAATTCGCTATTTTTGAGTAATTCATCTACCTTTTTATATAAGTGTCATAATTTATAAATAATGGTAATGAGTCGAAAGAATTAAAATTAGTTTTTCAATCAATCAAATTACTTTATTTATAATAGGCATTTGCCTGTTACAGTAGGGCGTTTTAAATATTAATGAACACCATATCTGATTTTAACATAATATATCTAATCAAAAACATAATGATTTAGTAATATTATCTTCTTATCTATTGTTATTGACAAAAAACATGTTTTGGTTTATTATTAACATGGGTATTATTATTAACATATATTATTACTCTGTTATAAAAAATTTTTTTCGCATAATTATATAAATTATAAATTGTTACACATTTTGCCGTGTGGAAAAAAGGTACTTAGTATTTTCATTAATGATAATGTCCAATGCACAGAGATTGTATCTATTTCGTAGATCCCGGGCATCTTTACACATACAAAACATATGGAGTTTTGAAAGTGTGTCACTGTCAATACATCTTTGACAACTGACCTTAGAGAATTCATAGATATTATTATTAATTATTAACACCTCTTTGTTTAACCTTATTTGAACAAAGAATTTCTTAATATTAAAAGGTAAATTCGTGAACATATATCCATTAATGAATGGATATTCTAAAATTGAATTATATCATTCTGGACTTTTACGATTATCTTGGGCCAATGAGATTTCAAGAGCGCTCTAGATCAGTTGAGATTTGAGTAGTTTGCTCATTCCAGTTTCCTTCATAAATTGTCCTATCGAAAACCCAAAACTATTAAGAATACTTGCTAATTGGCTTACCCAGTTTTTTCTCGGCGTATCAGTGAGCATCTTTTGGTATAATAAACATAATAATACAGCTGGTAATTTCCCGCTATCTTTTATCATGAAAAAGGAATCTAATAAATCTTTTTACAACAAAAGGATCTAGTTTAAATCTGTTTAGTTCTAGACGGAGAGCATTTCTAAGAACCTTGTATTCAAGAGAAGATTTTACGAATAAATTTATTTTGAATTATGTCTAGTTTTTGATAATTAGACAGGCTCCAAATCGGAGGAGAGTAACAAATAGCATTCATAATTATAGAGTTGAATAATTTAAAGTGGACCGTAATATTTTTCAATTTCATCTTGGAAAATAATAATCATATTATTAATTAGAGAGTTGGCTTTAATCATAGTTTTTTTGTATTGCTTATCGAGCGTTAAAGGAGTTACGATTACTCCAAGGAATTTAAATTTTTGAACTTTTTCAGTTCCTCATTATTGAGATAAAAGGTCATGTGATGCTTAGGAAGTCTAGATCCGTTTCGGAATATCATTACATATGATTTATTAGGATTAATTTATAATTTTAATTCTCTACAGTACTATTTTAATACATGTATTTTCCTACGAAGGGCGGCAGCTGACGGGGCAATAATCATTATAACAATGTATTATCTGTTTATCATATAAACAGCCATCGTCTTCTCTAGTAAAACAAGCGTTAAAGTCGAACATATAAAAATTAAATAAATATGGAGACAACAGGTCACCTTGTAATAAGCCACGACTGATATCTAAAGCTGGCCATAGAAAATTATCCTGTTTTATCAATACTTCGTACTAGCAAAATAATAATCCTACTGCTCTTATTAGATTATTTTCTACTTGATAATCCATCACTTTTCTTTGTAAGTTTGAAGTTAACGCTTAATCGTATGCTTTTTTAATGTCTAAAAATAAGGCAAACACTTTATGTCTTTTTTTTCCGGAGTTGAAGTTGGATTACTGCTATTAAAACAAAGAGTGCCAATTGAGTACCTCCATCTCTACTGAATGCAAATTGAGTATGATTTATATAATTATTTTTTCCCGTCCACTCGTTGAATCTTGTCAGTAAAACTGAAGTAAACAATTTACCGAATCCAACAATAGTGCAATTGGTTGGTAATTGGATGGCTGTTTTTTTCTATCCTTTTTTGAATAGCATATACAAGATGACTTTATTCCAGTCCTTTGGAATCACACCTAAATTGTATAGGTCATTAAATGTTCTTGTCAAATAATTAATAATAGTCATCGGTAGATTTTTAATTATAGAATTGGGAATTGCGTCATATCCCGGGCTGTTTTTTCTTTTAGTTTTCTAATGCTGGAATATAAATTTTCTGTATTGAATACCTCTTCATATGGTTGATTTTTTAGTTGAATATTATTAGATAATGTTCATTCTATTATTATTTGAGTAGTTATCTGAAAATTCCTTGAAATATTGGTGTCAATTGTGAAATGGCATCAGAAATCTGTCATCTGTCGTTAAACAAGATCTACGGAAACTATTAATGATATTCTGAAATGATTTTGAATCTTTTAAATTTATTAAAAGGTCGCTTATTGTAGAAAAATATTTTTTCTCTTTTTTGCTTTTATAAGGTTTCTACATATCTTCTTATTTTCTAGAAATTTCTCCAGAGATTTCTAGAAAATAAGAAGATTCTAGAAATAGAGATTCTAAATTTGTTTTTCTGAAATGTTGTAAGCTTTTTTGTTTTTTAATTTTATAATAATAACATTTATTATCGTACCAACATTGTTTAAATTTTAATGTCATATTCTTTCTGCACTTTTTAAAGCGATATGATTCTAGTACAATCATTAAATTAGTATAGTTACTAAATGGTTTTTTAAATCTCTTCTTGCGATAATATATCATTAATATTTTTTTCGAACTTTTTAAAAAATTTCTGTTTATTAAACTTTCCTTTCTCATCCGTAAATTGTTTTGGATTTGATGTAAACAATTGAATTTTATTTAAGTTTCCTGATTTTCCTCCTAATATTAGTTGTATCGGAAAATGACCAAGTTTAGTACTTTCATCATTATACACTGATTTAAAACAGGTACAGAACACATAATATAATCAATTATAGATTTGCCGGTATGTGATATAAAGGTAAATTCGGCGGGAAAGTCCCCGTTAAACCTACCGTTCAGTATAACTAGATCGTTATCTTGTGCAAAATCCAACAGGATTTTTCCATCCGTATTCACTGTTTTGTCTTTAGACAATCTTCTATTATTAATGTTGTCATTTCTCCCTTTATATTTTAGATCCATTATGTCACCAATTCGGGAGTTAAAGTCTCCACCTATTATCCAAAAATTAACGACATTAGTCCATGGAGCAATAATATTTTGTATTTCTTGTAAACTTAACTTTTTATCTACTGAAGGAGGGAGATATACAAGTATAATTCCTATACAGTAGACCCCCCTATAACGCTTAGATACGTTCCACGCTAACCGAAAATTACGTTGTAGGAATGATTAAATACATGAGCCAATCGCAGCCCGATAGGTGGGAACTTTACGGACTAAGGCTGTTTGAAAGGTTTTCTTCTATAAAATTAACCGATTCTAGACTAATTCGACTCAACATTTCCAAAATACGTATAATTTTTTGGGAATAATCTGTATAAACTATGCTATAAACAAAAAATTGTAGGATTACTTACCGAGTGTGCACCGTTCGACTACGCCGTTGCTCAAGCTTGTTTTCGTCGCGGAACAGCGCACGAAACGGCGGCCGCGATTTCTGATAACGAATTTTTCGCAGAAAAATAACTTGACCTTTGGAGACATCATTAATATAAATAATTTTTATGGCCGTTGAATAAGAAGTGTTTCTTTCACAAGAAATGTATAAAATTAGTGCTGTATTAGACTTACGGTACCTAATTTACATACTGTGCAGACGATAATAAACTCAACTTACTAGCCTAAAATCTCAGTAGCGTGTTGCCAGGCGGCAGAAAGCATATATATAATTATAATAAAGTTACAATAAATTAAGTTAATATATAATTATATATACAGTACCTAATTTATATATAATTAATATATAATTATATGTACAGTACCTAATTTATATATAATTTATATATAATACTAAACAGACGATAGCAAACTCAATTTAGCCGCTCCGTAGCGTGGCGCAGGGTCGGAGGAAAGTAGTTCGGCTGCTCATCCACTATTGGTCCAGACTCTATCAATCTTGTCGCGAAACGACGTTATAGGAGGTACGTTATACGAAAGTTGCTACAATCTTTTTGCTACGTTATAGGAATTGTCGTTATAGGAACGTACGTTATAGGGGGGGTCGACTGTATGTGATTCTCCCCAAATTGATTTAAATTCCTGGTCAAAATCTAATGTAGTGAAAATGAATTTTTCCGATATATAACATTGTAGTAACTCACTGAAATGTTTCTCGACCAGTAGTAAAAGATCTCCAGATGATGGGCGGAAAGAGTTAATACAACACACATGTTTTATTACACAAATTAAAATTCGAAGTTATTATTAATCCATATTTGATTTTATATTTTATTCTATTTATAATTTACTCTTATTTTCTGAATACAATGAGGGCCAACTCTGCTGTCAACCTCTAACATTCTTAAAAGATTTTTTAAAAATTTTTATCAGCAAATATAAAGTAATATAATTAAACTCAAAACTTGAAAATATAAAGTTATAAAGTTACCTTTAAATTTCTGAATAATTGAATTTCGTAATGCATGGATTACTTTCGAAGAAATGTAGTTTATTTACTTTATTCAAATTTTAAATAATTTACTGTACATAAATGTAAAGTAAATTGTTACAAAATATAGCAATCAATATAATAATATTTTTTATAATTAATCACTTTTTAAAGTAACGCTACAATATTAACAAAAGACTAAATTAATGAAAGGAAATATATTATTAATTTTGATATACAATTTTTCGAAATTAAAGTTATTAAAAAGGCGAATGAAGTTTTAACATTTAAAGTTAGTGATATTTATTTCAGTTCAGAATAAGAAATCATTATGCAATATATATGTGTATAAACACAAAATTGGTTCTCTAGAAAATATGTTTAGCATTATCTCAATACAGTACTGTATTATGAAATATGTTCAAACAATTTCAATAATTTATAGAATTTTTATGGAAAATTAATATAATATATTAAACCTTAATATATATTATATTTTATATTTGTATAACTATATTCTACGCTTTATTCCATCTATAAGTTTTTATTACATGATATTTTGAAATGATAACATAATATACGACAACATTGGAATAACTAAAGTATAATTATCAAATTATTCCACTTATTTTAAGATTTATTATTTTAATAAACAATAATTTCCTATTTCTTATATATATATATGTTTTCTTCAGTTTGTTTCTGATACTTGAGTGCTTTAATAATTAGCTGAGAAGCCACTTTTAAATATTAAACGTTTATTTAATAATCGAATTATGAATTAGTAAAAGACCACGTCATTGGCTTTAAATAAAAAATTAATTATTAAAATTTGCTACTTTAACTAATCAGAATAAATTATATTTATTTAAAAATCAATATTGAATTTAATTTTAAAAAAGGCTTGCACAATATAAAGAACTTTTACATACAAACTATATTTATAGTTATTTTTACTTTCGTGTAAATTATGTACACTAAAACTAAAAGTTTATATTTATAAAGGAAAATATATATTTTATAAAAAGCTTTCTTCTTTTGTAAGCATATTTACTATAATCTCTATATTAATATTAATTAAGTTTTATATTTTAGTTAAAATATATATTAATGGCAAAACTTTGCTATATGTATTTTAATAAAGTAGAAAATTTAATTATAAAGCATCAATGAATAAAAATGTTGATAAATTGAATTTTAAAACACGTCACAGAAATTTTAATAATGCTTTTTAAAAGGAGTTATTTATTTTATGTAATTTCAAATATTATTAATAACGAAAAGAAAATTTTTAGAAATTTGTTGATGTAATTATATTTTGATAAATATTATTTATCAAAATATAGTTTCTGTTGCTAGATATAACAGTTTAAATTTAATTATTTTTGTTTATAAAACATTTTTGGACTGAATATAAAGTGCTATTAATAAATATAAATTAAAATAATTGCTTAAAAACTTTATAATTCTCATATAAAATATCTAAAAGATTTAAAATTAATAAAGAAGTTATTAAACTTTTAATATTATTTATTAAACATTTAAACTGGAATCTCTAGAATGTCAGTAACAGCCATTTATTCTATATAAATCTATAAATATTTATTGATTTATTTAACAAAGATATTGTTAGATAGTTAATATTATTTTAAGAATATTCTACAATTACAATTATAAATTTAATATTTTAGATAAATAAATAAAGAACATTAAATCCATAAATCTCAATAATTACTAATTAGCAGTTGTTAATTGGTAACTTTTCTGGATAGTTTATGGGTATAAGATTTGTAAGAAAA